GATTTATTAAGACCCTTACATTACCCTCCGATGTACTTGCATACAAATATACAGCAGTATCAATTAAATAGGAAATATACGGCATATATATGAATAAAATCATAAAGAAGACATTGTATCCAAGTTAATGGCCTCTTAAATATCTTTTAAAAATATTTTATCAAATTATAAAATACATTTTTTGTTGTGAAAATATCTCTTGATCCACCACGTACTGCATACAAACTGCGTCAGGTTTTACGAAATGACGTCACATCGACAAGTGACTTGTTTATACCATGTTATGTGGAATTTAACTAAAGACAAAACGGCATCTTTAGTAAGTTTAGATGTAGTTTGATGGTTTCCTATAGTTTAAAATAGCAAAATTATTTCATTTTGTAGGATTTTTAAGAATTGTTGGTTTCGTATGATGTCATAGTTAACATTTCCCGTACAAATTAGGCTCCGCCCCCTTTTTGTAGCCTTAACTGTGCTGCGTGCCCTGCATCCATAGATGAAGAATTATTGACCCTGACACAGCGTTTTTGTTTGTGCGACAGCTCTCGAATGTGTCAAATGATTAACGGGTATCTTTTTTCATGATTTACGATTAACACCTGAATTTCCCTTCTTCAACTTCGAATTTTTCGTCTTTGAAATCCAAAGGTTTTCTTATGAATTTCATTAACAATCCGTGTTCACATTAAGTTGGAGAGCTGGAATCCGATGTTCCTTCTCATGAACACACACATAAAATGTGTGTATTAAAAATACTGGCAGAAAGGAGAGATTATCCATGCGGTCAAAAGAAAAATTTTTATTGGTGTAATAAAAAATCATGCTTGAAAATTTGTGACGTGACAATCATTGACGTTTTGATTGGCCATGATACAAGAAAGTTATTAAATGTTTATTATGGTGTATCCTGATTTATCTGGACAAAGGGCGGTGACGAATGCAAAGCATAAGTCTCCGCCCTTTTGTCCAAATAAATCAGGATACACCATGATAAATATACAATAACTATTACTTGTAATTGTACATAGCATGTTTACGCTGTGGTGTTCTGTTTGATAGTAGATGAGTTATTGTCACTGGTAGAGTCATGGTTGACAAGAGACAGGACGAGCTTGATTTATACTTTATCAAAGTGAATAAAAAATCACAGAGAGTCAAGGTGACGTACTGTAATTTGTGACAAGTGGCAAATAGCCATGTTGTATATCCAAGTCTGTGTGTACTGAATTGTAGCACTAGGCAAGTGACAAAAACATATGTGTATATATTGAAGACTTTGGAAAACCATGTATGATCCTAAGGAGATCACTCGGGTCTAACACGTTACCATTAGCAAGGGTATTTTTACCAGATTTTTGAAATTCTTGGGTAACATTGCTTCATCTATTAGTTAATTTTGTTTTATACTTCTATGGATCTTTTACAGTGTTGTATTATACTCAGGTCACCGTTAAGGCCCTTGGGCCTTTTGTTATGTTTACGGACACACAAAAGTTATAGAAAATTTAGATATACTCAAATTCTAATTTATATAAATTTCTTACCATTCCGAAATTGAAATTGTTTGTCTTTTTGATCAATCAGGACATCGTACTTACGAGCGTGATTGAGGAGGATTGAAAATGAATTTCAAAAGAGACTTTCAATTCAATTTTTTTCAGACGTCTGTGTCGAATTTTACCCGTCAATTTCATTGTTTTGATTGTAAAAGATTGAAATGACGCATGTTCAGTGTTTTTATTCTGATTGGAAATGTCATTACTTATTCGTTATCAAATTAATATTGTAATTCAATGACGAAATAAAATTGTGCCTTATCCTTGCAGCCTTTATGTTAAAAACTTAAGAATCTAAATACGTTACCAAATATGGCGTGTAAAACGTTGCTTTATTCGGTAATCTTGTGATGTATATTCAAAATCTTGTGATGTATGTTCAAAATCTTGTGATGTATATTCAAAATCTTGTGATGTATGTTCAAAATCTTGTGATGTGTATTCAATATCTTGTGATGTATGTGCAAAATCTTGTTATGTATATTCAAAATCTTATGATGTATATTCAAAATCTTGTAATGTATGTTCAAAATCTTGTGATGTGTATTCAATATCTTGTGATGTATATTCAAAATCTTGTGATGTATGTGCAAACTCTTGTTATGTATATTCAAACTCTTGTGATGTATGTTCTATAATCTTGTGATGTATGTGCTATATCTTGTTATGTATATTCGAACTCTTGTGATGTATATTCAAAATCTTGTGATGTATATTCAAAATCTTGTGATGTATGTTCTATAATCTTGTGATGTATGTGCAAAATCTTGTTATGTATATTCAATATCTTGTGATGTATGTTCTATAATCTTGTGATGTATGTACAATATCTTGTGATGTATATTCAATATCTTGTGATGTATGTTCTATAATCTTGTGATGTATGTGCAATATCTTGTGATGTATATTCAAAATCTTGTGATGTATGTTTATAATCTTGTGATGTATGTGCAAAATCTTGTGATGTATATTCAAAATCTTGTAATGTGTGTTCAATATCTTGTGATGTATATGCAAAATCTTGTGATGTATGTTCTATAATCTTGTGATGTATATTCGATAATCTTGTGATGTATATGCAATAATCTTGTGATGTATGTGCAATAATTGCATTTTGGGTAATATGACGCAATAGTGTTGTAGTTAAGTAAGGATAATTTTCATTGGTTGGAAATAACGAAAGTAGCGGGGTGATGCATACGTAGATCAAATGGACTTTCATTTCTTTCGTTTTGATCGCCGAAATATTGCCGACTCGGCGTTAAAAAATAATTATCAATCAGTCTCTCGTTTTGATACAAAGGAAAGAGACATAAGATATGGATAATATATGCAGGTATATCAGTGAGGAAGATATAAATGTAATTAACATGATAAATAGAGTAAAGTCCTCAAATCATCGAAAATCTTAATATTTCTAAAGAAAAACATTAGATGTTCATCAAGTTTTTTCTTCTCCTGTAAAAGAGCTGATCGGTAGTCTAGTAATAATGAAAACACAAAAAAGATTATCTTCTTGTCATATTAATTAGGGTGATTACTTCCACTTCCAGCATAATTTTATATTTGGAAGATACTCATGATAAATTTCAAGAGTATATAGAAGTTTAAGGCTTATCTAATTACAGTGTCAACTACACTCTATCTTTTGTATGTTTTTTTCTTCAGTTCGCAGCTACTGTATACATCGATCAATTTCATATGATTTTCTCAGTGTATTACATATGTAATAGGACAGCTGATTAGGTTTGACATGAGATATGGTGATTGGTCACCTGCAATCATGATTGCTAAAACTGATGACCAACTTGATGCAACCCAATGTTTAAACCTATGTGACCTAAACTTATCTCACAGATTTTTTGTAAGCCTTCCAGTCATTTTTAAATATACAATGTACATGCATGCTTCATATGGAGAGTTGTAACTTGTTAGAGGAAGTCAGATAAAACCCCTGTTTTTTCCAAAATGTCAATTGAAAAGCAAAATATCACTGTCTAAATCTTCTGCAGAGTTGTATCAGCTACAGCCTTGATAGATGCTACTAAAATGACACAAGGCATTCCATCATGCACATATAGATATGCTTGCAATGGCTTACATCTCTTACATAAATCATCATACCTCATAACATTTTGCTCAAAGCTAATATATCCTGGCTCAACATCAGATGTTTGTCATAGTCCTACATAGTGAGGTTCAAATTCTAAAATCAGTACAGGAGTCCTTAATTATCTTACATGTATCTGATGAAAGATTCATCATTCACTGAATCAGGACTGTGTCTAAATATACCTGCTTTTCTTTTATTCAGAGGTCAGTTCACTTAACTAGAGGCTGGATTGTGCTTTAAAATTGCCAGTGCACAACATCACTGCCAAGTGCCAATAAAACGATCAAATACTGAAATACTTCATTTTTGGTTTACTTTCACAGATATTTCAACTATGTTCATCTTGTTAACTTGCAAGTCCCTCTTTTGAAAGAAGTTGCATAATTTAACTTCAATATTATCCTTTTGTCACATGTTCAACTATTATATATATGTACTTAAGTCTATGTTCTCCCAATATTTCTGATGGAAGTTTTGTATTTTGTAGATTCGTTATTGGTTAAGAGTGAAATTGACCATTTTATGTGTTTTAAAAAATTCTTACACTCATCAGGTTGCCCGCGGGGCGCAGTGCTTAGAGCATCTGCTCTAGATTTGCGTGGCGCAGTGGTTAGAGCATCTGCTCTAGAGTCCCGAAGTAAGGAGTTGATCCTTATGTCGTGGGTTCGAATCCCACTGTGGGACGCTGAGACGGGTCCTTCGGATGAGACCTCCCTGCTCAATGCTCAATGGCCCTAAGTGCCGAGCATAGGACAAAATTTGCAGCTCTCCATTGGCAAGTGGTGGCACCTTCATATGAGTAAAAAATACTCTCGAGGGACATTAAACAACATACAAACAAACACACTTATCAGTTGGAGAGCAATCAATGGCAATGAGTTCTTCATTTATTCCTTTGACAATATAAGTATTTTAAATACACAGGTTACTTGTTGCAATATTTAAATGATCATGTTTTACAAATGAATGATTAAAAATTAGACATTATGCAGAAAGTGTATTTTTATATGTCACTGAACTACACATGTATGGAATTTACTACCAAATTTTGTATGTCCATGCACTAAAAAGGTACTGAATTGAAATTTTATTATTTTATTTTATTTTATTTTTTTTTTTACAAAATCCCCTTCACTTTATTTATCTCAGAATTACATTGTCATATCAATTACTGAACAGAACAGAGACCAACATAGTTTGTCAAAGTTTCTAGTTTTCTCTTGGTTCCGGAATAAAGGTACTGTAGTAAAAATTTATAGCAGTGCAATATTTTTAGTACATTCCTTATCCTACACAATTTTATAATAATGACACTGTTGACCAGGGTCCCAACCAAGAAGATGCAACATGTCTTGTTACACATGTGTTGACCTTGAATCTGGTGGTAGTGGGCAAAGTCAGTTTTCAGATGTAAAGAATCTTCCCCGTATTCTGAAAAATGAAAATATAATTAGAATTTATGCAAACTAAGGTAAATTTTTTACAGATAAATTTCACCAAGTAGTTGGTGATAGCCCAAAGGAGCACTGGAGTAATAAACCTTTTTATAATATTATAAACAATAACATGTACCTAAGTATAAGTCTTTCAGATAATGGACTGCATCTTCAGCTGTTAATAATGCAGCAGAGTAGGTACACTTGACTTTCACAAACTTGGAAATTGCTGTCCTAGCATAGAGTCTGGTAAGATACTTCACAGAGAGGAGGATGCAGAACTAAATTATGTGAAACACCTTAAGCACCCAATCAATTCATCGAGCCAAATTCCTGAAAAATAAACCAAAATATTTCAATCATTGAAAACTAAAACCATGTCCATAGTACATGAATGCCCTGCCCAGTGTAATGCAACATGAAAAGAAATGTGCTTTGCTTCTTTGTTAAAGATGAGGTAAATGAGAGATATTGAGGTCAAGGTCACAGTGAAAGTTAAGTCAGAAAGATGTGACACAGTTGAATAGCTGTGACCAATTTGTTAGTGAATGAGGTTTAAAGAAAATCTTGAGAATAGTTTCTTTCAAACTAATATTAAAACAAGACTATTAGTAAAGTCAAAATGTCATGGGGAACGACAAGGTAAAAAATAATGGACAGAGTTGATAAGTTTTCACCAATAAGTTTTATTATATGTGATAAAGATAAAAATATCTTTAATGGTTTCTTTTAAATTGAGTTTAAGAATAGTAAGGTCAAAAAGAAGGTAAAAAACAGCTAGTCTGCAATTAATTAGTTTTTGCATAAAACAAAACAGTTTTATCTGATTTAATTCATTGATTTTTTCATATACATTTAAATATATAACATTACACTAAAATTTAAATTTCATTGCATTAAGGACCCTCTATACACTAAAGGAAAAGATTTTTTGGACATTGAGAAAATTATAGTGTGTAAAGGTGTAAATGTTGAGCATATCTATTACATGTTCAACATAGTGTACCTTGCATTTACCCCCAGGAAAAATGTTCAAAGACAATAAAGTACTGATGAACAAAAATCATTGTTGTTTACTTAAATGGGCAAAATACCAGCAAATTAAAGTTTTAATCTATTCATCTTAGCCTATTAAAATGTTGTAAATGCTTTATTTGATCACAAATTAAGAAATAAACTGTACACATCAATTTATTTTATTCTAGATCGAAGGGCAGATTACTCTATCTGCATAAAAATACCACAAATCAGAACTCTTTAGTGTGCAGTGTATAGTGGGCTCTTAAATTGTTTGTACATGGCTACACATACTTTTTCTACATAAGTTCAGACACCCATTTGCAGATGTGCACATGCATTACCTTTTTCACTTAAAATTAAGCACTGTGAGCTTCAAAGTTGGATCGAGACAGTATTCTTTGTGTCCTCATGACTTCCCCCATAAGATTTGTTCAATACCCTTTTGGTGCCTCTGTAGTATTTAGGCAGAATCATTGCATAGCATAACCAGACAAATGGAGCATCTGCTTCAGTAAATTTCAGACAAGTCAAGGATCCTCTGTCATAGGAGCAAGAAGGATCTGGTGCTCATGTGACTCTGGCTGCTGAATCCAATCCATAGCTGAAAATATTAAAAACATTTAGTTGATGAAGCCAATTAATATTTTAACTCTATAACCTGTGGTTCATAATTTAAAAAAAGTATAAAGATTGGGAATGTTTGCAATCTACACTACCTCAGGAAGCTTTCTATAAAGTTTCATTTTTTCCCTAGTAAGTTGTTCAGTAGAAGAAGATTTTTAAAGACTTTTATCCCCAATTGAAAGGCCCCATCTTACCATCCAGGGGTCATGATTTGTACAGTTTAGAAATTTCAAAACCTCATCACAATACATGAGATGCTTAGTTAAGCTTTCAGGTCAGGTGAGCTAAAAAAAAAAATCATTCATACAATGTTCCAAATTTTAACAATAAACCTGACAAGCCTTGCCAATATCTTTCTAAAGAAAATCCTGTACTTATTATCAAATGACATATCTAATGCTCTTTTATTACGTTCCCCAAACGAAGTTTGGGAACATATTGTTTTTACTCTGTTTCTTATTATTATGTTCCCCAAACGGAGTTTGGGAACATATTGTTTTTACTCGGTTTCTTCTTCTTCTTATTAAGGTCTTCCGTCTTCAGCGGAAGACCTTCTTGTTAAGGTCTTCCGTCTTCAGCGGAAGACCTTCTTGTTATTCTTAGGTTTCTTTTTCACTTTTATTATTAGGTCTTCCGTTTTCAACGGAAGACCTATAGTGATTCTACTGTTTCTTATTATTATTATTATTATTCTTATTTTTTTGACTTTCTAATTTTGTGCACGCGATTTCTCAAAGACTATTGAATGGATTTACATGAAATTTTCAGGAAAAGTGTGTTGTAAGATGAACTTGATCTATCTGAGAGATTTTTTGGAAATTCCCCTCCGGTGCCAAGTTACAGACCATTTTCTGATTTCAAAATGACATTTTGTCCGCGGATAATCTCAAGAACGACAAGAGATATCAATGTGAAACTTTCAGGGATTATAGTTCGTGATAGGTACTAGCCGGGTCGCTTCTTTTCGTTCGTCGTCGGCACTTCCGGTCGCCTACGGAAGTGATCAAAGAAATCGTAAAATTTCAACTTTCCTTTTTTAAATCAATACTTACATCACATTATTGGATCTCTTTTGTAGTTTCGAAATATGTTGGTCCCACCGGAAACAAAAACGTCAACTTCCGGTTATAAGAGAAAAACTACATAATTTGAGTATCTTTCTTTCCCATTAATATCTTTTGTAGATAAAATATTTGAAATGAATTTTAAATATGTTATTCAGACTAAAAATGTCTAGAGTAACGTCAAATATCTTTGTAAAATTCACTTCCGGTCGCGTGTTTTCCTGTCCCCAAAATAAGAAGTTGTGTGAGCAAGATCTCGGAAACGGTGAGATTATGACACCAAACTTTTATGAGCAACAGACCTTAAGATGTAGGCAAAACCATTTGGGTTAAGAGCGTCAGTGGTCACTTCCGGTCGTCACAGGAAGTGATCAAAGAAAACGAAAATTTCAACTTTTCTTTTTTTAATTAAAAATTGCATCACTTTATTGCATCTTTTTCGCAGATTCGAAAGATGTTCGTACCACCGGAAACAAATACGAAAACTTCCGGTTATAAGAGAAAAACTAAATAATTTGAGTTTTTTAATTTCCCGTAAATATTCTTTATAGATAAAGTATTTGAAATGAATTTTAAATGTGCTATTCAGAGTGCAAATGTGTAGAGTAACCTTAAATATTTTTTCAAAATTTCACTTCCGGTCGCGTGTTTTCCTGTCCTCAAAATGAGAAGTTGTCTGAGAGAGATCTCAAAAACAGGTAAAAGATTAAAACACCAAAATTTTAAGAGTAATGGACGTTGAGGGGTAGGTGAAACCATTTGGGTTAAACGCGTCAGTCGTCACTTCCGCTTCTCACAGAAAGTGATCAAAGAAATCAAAAATTTTAACTTTTCTTTTTTAAATTAAAACTTACATGACTTTATTGCATCTCTTTTGCTGTTTTGAAATATGTTAGATTCCACCGGAAACAAAAACGTCAACTTCCAGTTAAAGGAGATAAACTACGTTATTCTTATATTTAACTTTCTCATAAATATCGCTTATCGATAAAGTACCTAAAATGATTTTATGCATGTTGTAGATACTGCAAATGTCTAGAGAAAAGTCAGAGATTTTTATAAAATTCACTTCCGGTTGTGTGTTTACCTGTTCTCAAAATTAGAATTTAGTCCCACAATATTGTTCGGCAACAGTAAACGACTGAGAACTAAAACTTTCAGGACTGATATTCAGTCATCAGTTTATTTGAATCGTGAGAAAATCTTGCATCGCCGTTACTTCCGGTCGTGAAAGGAAGCGATGTAAAAAAGTGAATGGTCAATGGTTAGCACATTGGATTTTCACGCTGACGACTAGGGTTAAATCTCCAGAGTGTCTGAATTTCTTTTATCACTTTTTCAGCTTGAATTTTCGTTTTTATTTTCAGAATCGGACGGAAGACCTCTCATTGCTCGCAATGAGTTTCTAGTTATTATTCTTTTTTTTTCTTACCGATTTTGTGCACGCGATTTCTCGAAAAGGGCTTGATGGATTTCCGTGAATCTTTCAGGACTTATGTAACGTCAATTGAACCTTATGCGTTTTTTTCTGTTTTGCTGACGTCACTTCCGGTCGGGAGATATTGCCGATTTAGTGGTTTTCGAAGGGTCGGGTTGTCCGCAGATTTTCTCATATGCAGCTTTAGTTAGAAAGATGAAACTTTCAGGTATGGTAGACCTATCTCTGTAGATATGCGGAAGGCGTTTCATTTTTATCGGAAGTGCCGCGCGTCGGCGCTCGCTATGGCCCGAAAAAAAGTCCTAGCGGGAATTTTAAATTTTCTTACACTTTTTCTATAATATCTTTTTACCTGTAAATATTTTGTTAAAAAGATATAGAACAAAAGTTGTGTACAATGTTACGATCTTTCAAAGGATACCAACAATAAGGACCTGGTCCCTAACATTAGGGAGCTAGAGGGGCCAAAAGTGTTTTCCTGATACCTCAAAAAGTATTGAGAATTTGTATAGCATCATAGAAGCAAAGTTGTTCAAAATGATAAGTAGCAGCTAAGGAGACCATTAAAAGTCGTCAAAATGACGTCACTTCCGGTAACACCGAGAGTAATGGTAAATGGCTCATTTTTGCACATATGACCGTAGAAGTGTCTCGATCTCAATCTCATCTCCTTCAAATTTAGACGGAAGACTTATTTGTTGCTTTGCAACAAGCTCGTCTAGTTATTCTTAGGTTTCTTTTTCACTTTTATTTTTAAGGTCTTCCGATTTCAGCGGAAGACCTTACTGTTATTCTTAGGTTTCTTTTCCACTATTTTTAGGGTCTTCCGTCTTCAGCGGAAGACCCTTCTATTATTGTATTGTTTCTTTTTCTTATTATTATTAGGGTCTTCCGTCTTCTGCGGAAGACCCTTCTATTATTCTATTGTTGATTTTTCACTTTTCTTTTTATTATTAGGGTCTTCCGTCTTCAGCGGAAGACCCTTCTATTATTCTTATGTTCCTTTTTCAATTTTCTTATTATTATTCTTTTTTTCTGCACAAATTTTGTGCAGACGATTTCTCAGAGTTGGGTTGATGGATTTGCATCAAATTTTCAGGGTTGGTGCTAGGTTATCTGAAGTTAATTCCGGCTAAATATTTTTTTGACAATCACTTCCGGTCAAAAGTTATCGCCCTTTTAATAAAATTCAGAGGACCTCCTTGTCTGTGATGGAACTCAAAAACGGCTTAAGCTAGAACGCTGAAATTTTCAGTGATGATAGAGGACATGTTGCCATTATGCACCTGGGTTTAGATATTTTCCGGAAGTGTCTAGTATGGAAGCTCGGTAGGGGTCAAAATTTAGGACACGAATCATGAGTGAATTTTTGAGACATTTTGTATCATATCATTAAAAGTAAAATATTTTGTTAAAACATACTGAACAATTTTTGTGCAGAATGACAAGATCTTTAACAGGATATCAAGAAAAAAGGGCTGATTCATCAAATTAGGGGCTGAGAGGGTCTAAAAGTAATAAATAAATAACTCTTTAACAATCAATATTTTGGAATACATTATTGAAGCAAAAATGTTTATCTTAACAATTTACAACTATATATTATAATATTTATGTCATATGTTACATAATTTGGGGCCATAAGGGGCCAGAATGCCAAATCTTTGGCATTCTATATCTCAAAAGTGGGAAATATTTTGATAAGCAATATTGAACAAAAGATGTCCAAAATAGTGTTCTAAACAAGATGGAACCTTTCATTTTTTGCTAAACGTCCCCATTAAGGAGTTGAAGGGCAGGCCCCTAAATACTCCTTTTGAAAATATCTCAGAAACGAAAAAGAATTTCTGACTAGTTGTTGAACAAAAAGTGTTCAAAATCATGAGAGCTTTAAAGTGATATGAAGAAAAAGGGGCTGGACCCTCACAATAGGGGCTGAGAGGGGCCCAAAGTCTTTGAACAATAACTCTTTAATGATCAATATTTTGTAATGAATTACTGAAGCAAAAATGTTTATCTCACCAATGTACGACTATATTTTATGATATTCACATCATATGTTACATAATTAGGGGCCATAAGGGGCCAGAATGCTAAATCTTTGAGGCTTTATATCTCAAAAGTGGGAAATATTTTGATAAGCAATATTGAATAAAAGATGTTCAAAATAATGTTCTAAATAAGATGCAACCTTTCATTTTTTGCTAAACGTCCCCATTAAGGACTTGAAGGG